ACTACGGGATCAACAGGTGCGATAGTAGGACTATACAAAGAGACTCAAAAATGTCACAAAAGAAGGACTGCCTTAGATAAAGCCACAGGGGACAAGCCAGCAGAACCTGAGAGAGTAGAGTTGAAAGCAATGTTAAATTGCAATTTCATGTCCACTGAAGAAAGTCAAACAGAAAACTCTCTATCTACATCAAGTAAACACAACAGTCATGGGGAGACATGACAGCTGCTCAGAGCAGAGGCTAGCGCACAGGGCTCAGACTCTATACGCCACATTAATTCATACGTGTTCCGCCTGGACGTGGCAGCCGTCACAGTCATTTAGGAGAGATTTATCTCTGTCCCTCTCATGGGCAGACATTTCCATTTGTCACATGACAGCAAATCACTGGGGCCTATGTGCAGACAGTGACGTTTTCATCTTCTGGTGCCTCTGTGAATATTAGGAGATAAATATTACCTGAAACATGGTGTCATCAAAATGCTTATTGATAGAGAAACAGCAAGAGACACAGACAGACAAATGTACAGTTTCAAAGCGATTCAGAGAAAGATGGTTATGCAACAGGGGATTGATGGGAAAGGAACCAAAGTGCTGCAGTGTTCTTGGCGTGACAGAAGATGATAGGGGAGGATGCGTGCATGTACCTTTCCTAGAATTCTTGGGTAAATTGATGAATGGTGGAGGAAGTGAAAAGCTGAGGGCTACAAAGGGTAGGAGATTAGATATGGGAGAGCAATAGTGGAGCTGAGTGACACACAACTAGTGGAAGGGTCACTTGTGGTGTATATGTAGCAGCCTTGTGCTGTTAGCCAAGGATAACTGATTGTATTTAAAATGAAAAATGAACTAGTGGTCAGAAGGGAGCACTTACTGATATATGGACCTTAATGAGTGAGGCTGGGACTGGAAGTCTCTTTCCAAGTAGTGTAGCACTAAACACAGTCATGTACACACACATACCTAATGCAACACCAGCATTAGATGCAGAAAGGTGGATCCAAGACAAATGGATTCTAATGATGTGGATTGGGTTACCAGTCATTCACAAACCTTTAAGTTTAAGTTCCTTGTGAGTTCTTAATTACTTGCTATATTCCAATTAGAATCTACTAAATTAGGTTGCACCATTTAAACTCAAGGAATGACTTTGCTAGTACAACATTTCAATAATAGGTAAATCAATGTAGGATATTCAAAGAAAAGAAAAAAAGCTTCAGCTATCAGTTATATTAGCTTAGCATTAAAAAACAGAGGAAAACAGCAAGCCTGGCACTGCCCAAAGAAAAAAATAAAATAATAAAATCTGCCTACAGCACATCTAAAGCTTACTTTTAATATGTTGTTTGTTTAATATGTACAAAAACTGAAGTATAAAAAGGACAATTTGGGCAAGTCACAGGGGTTTACAGTATGTGCCAAAATAGCGTTTTTCCTGTTTGCAGCCTTTGTGCTAAGCTAAGCTAACTGGATACACACCAACATTGTTTAGCCATTCAGCGAACAATTTGTCATTTGAGGTAGATTGTCTTATTTTCGTGTAATGCAGCAACTTTTATGTTGATCTGTTAACATTTTATCTTGTTTTAATTCATTGTTAATTCATTGTTGCATAAATCTCTACTTAGTAAACACTTAAAACTAAACTAAGTCCGAACTTAGGGACAGCTGGTGCAACCTGGCTCCTGGTCCAGAGGGTTATTTGTTCGGCTTTGAGGAAGCAACTAGTGCCAGTTGTGTCTCAGCCAGACTCCAGCCTCATCTGCTTTTGGCACATTTCTAAAGCCTGGACATTTGGACTTAACTGCTGCCACAACTAACCCAATAGTAGGCCATAAATCTGTGATTTTTACAGGACATTAAAGTGTTGAACAAGACAAGCAACCACAAATGAAAATGAAACGGGCAAATAGATGGTCAGAGGACGTGAGACAGAGGCAGAGACAGAGCAGAAAACAAGAAAATATAAAAAGTGCACTAGCTAATAAACAAGTAAAACAAATAGACAGGTGGACAGATATGGATAAAGAAGCATTTCATGGAGATTTAAATAGTGAGAGAAGCAAAACCACAAGCGTGAAAGAGAAATTAGCATGCAGGGAGGTGGGCAGAGGCAGCCAGGTAGATGCTGACTAACACTGACTTGTCTGCCACTCCGACACACCGCTGTACTGACTATAATTATTCATTAGCCCCATAACTCACAGATCAAACATTTACATCATCCCCTCAGGTGCTTCACAGACAACTCAATTTGTCTCTTTCACTGTCAGGGACTGTGTGTGTTCTGTGGTTCACGATTCTTTGGGTGGAGGCAAATCAGATTAACTTATATACATTTCACACCGGTCTTCACCGCTATCATTAGGGGCAAAAAGACTGTTTATCCAGGCACACTGCCATCACAGCATGGGATTTAAAAATTACTGATGCACTAAATAACCTTAGGGTAGCAATATCAGCTTGTTAGCTATCAGTTATCATCAGTAGTCAGTACTGGGGAATGGGAAAGAGGCTGCAGCAGGTTGAGCGCCTGCACTGAAATCTCATAAGGCGTTATTAGGCCGTATCCTCAAGGCTTTCTCACATACACTGGAACTCCTACCAGTGGGCGCTCAGAGGTGAGGCTATATAATTAGAGTTGAAGCCAGTAACTAAAAGAGATTCATCACCATCCAACCAGGTTTGGAAAAAAAAATATTGACCATTTAGTACAAAAAGTGCTTTGGTCTTTGGGCTGTGGTTGACTGATGTGTGTCATCATCATCGTCATCATCACTATTACCAAAGCCAGAATTCTGCTCCTGTTCGTTATTAACAGCAATGAATATCAGCAACATCTGGCTTCAACATCAAAATGTGGACAGCAGCAGCTATTGTAACTAGTGTTAGAAGAGGAAAATGTAGTGATTGTAAGCTGCAGTAGGGGTGAAAAGACACCATATTCAAGAAAAAAGTCAAAAAGGGTCCTTTCATCTCATACGGTAGGCACATGGGTATTTTATGGAATTGAGGATGGAGATAGGAGACAGAGCTGTGAGGAAACTAATTCTGATGATGACATTGATACAAGGTAACAGGGTTTGAGATTGAAGGGGGAGAGGGCATGAGGGAATAAAACAGGGAGCTTCGAAGCCCAGAAGGAGGTGTGATGTCAGGTTAAATTGGAGAAGAAGCAGGTAGATAGAGATTAAGGGCCAAAGGAATAAGAACGTGTGGGAGGAGGAGAATGAGAAGACAAAAAAAGAAAAAAATAAGTGATATGGCGGATCAGACTGGATGTTAATGTGTGTACGTGTGTGTGTGTGTGAAGGTGGGGGGAGTAGTGAAAAAAGAGGGGAGAGATGCAGCGCAAATGAGAGGGTGAGTGGCATAAACAGAGAGGGAGAGAGAGGGAGGGAGAGGGGGTGCACAGAGGCTCTGTGGGGAGATGAATACAGCTGTGCAGAGAGACAGAGGGAGATGCACAAACAGTAAAACAACCAACAGTAGCCCACACACCAGGACCAAATAACAGAAGCAGCTCTGTTTTTTTATTGGTAGATGGAAGAAACCTTGGGATATAATAACCTAACATAAATAACGGAGGAAGGAGAACAATCTTAGCCACTCACAACATCAGGGAGAGAAAGAAAAAGAGTGGAAAGGAAACAAAGGAAAGAGTGGAAAGAGAAGAGGAGTGACCTGAGCTGGTAAAGAAAAGCAGAAGAACGAAACAGGTAGGAGACAGAAAGAAGTATGATGAGACCAAATCTGAGAATGAGAAACTGTGTGCGTAAAAAGACAATTTTTTGTTGTAGTATAAAAAGATTAAATATAAAGTTAAATATGTTTTTTGAATGTGCATGCACATACAAATTCAAAGTATTTATAAAGGATGCAAAACAAAGACATATATTATTAACCAATGTGCATTTCTGTATTTGGCCATAAGGGAAATAGGTGATGGGGGTCGAGTAAAAGAGGAGTGGGAGTAAGAAGGGAGCATGCATAAACCAACACAAATAATGACACTTTTGCTGAAGCTAAAAAGCGGTCACAAGAAAATGAATCAAAACACAGCATTATGGTGGCATGAATTAATCATGAGGTGGGATCTGCAAAAACAAACAGGACCTAATAACATTCTTTAACTTCCATTTTGCCCATTAGAAACAGTGTTCATGTGCACCATCATTTATAATGGCAGGGCTATGTGTAAATAATACATTGACTATTTAATGGCAATGCTTTGCTGAGGCGGTGGCAACATGTCAATACAGTGTTGGCAAACATTCTGGAAACAGAAACACATGCATAATGGATTTAGATCATTTGAATTAAAATTAGGGGTAAAAATAAGAGGGAACGAGGGCTGAAGTGTGGGAAGATTTTTTCTGCAAGAGGAGAAGGGAGGGATGATGGTGAGTACCAGCTAGAGAACAGGGAATCTTTGATGAGTTAGAATCCGGGGTTTAGTTGTCAGGAAGGCTTTGTGAATAAACCATGAGGTAGTAGCCACATGAATCAGCAGGTGACAGACTACACAACACACACACACACATACAAACACACACACAAGAAATACATAAAACCTGGCATGTAAATACGTAGGCACACTCATAGAGACTGTCTTTATCTCTTTTAGTGTTTTTAAGTGTGTGTGTGTGTGTGTGTGTGTGTGAGAGAGAGAGATAGGGAGGGAGTCAGATGGAGCAGCTACTCATATATTCATAGAACAGGGAGGCGGAGATCAATACTCATTTCCACTGCATTTTACAAGTTGAAGGGCAGGGACAAAGCGCAGTTTTATAACATCAAAGGGTGAGAATGGCTCATGTGCCTCACATTTCTCCTGAGGATCAAGATCTCCTTTGGTTAGGTGCTGCCACCCCATGGTGAAACAGTGGTATGCCATGCATAATGTGCATGAGAATGATTCGTGGGTTTGCTGTTTATGTACATTTTGGTTTGTCACATCTCCCTGAGCACAGCTGCTGACCTCCGCCTGCTGATCCGCAATGTCTGTCCGGCTGCACACGCTGCTGATCCTCTGCCTGAGCTTCACACAAGGGTGAGAGGTGACATGTGCAGGGTTAAGAACACATTCTGATATTGCTCTTTATATTGACTGAGAAAGCAGTTCCTTTGCTTATGCTCAGCACCAACTGTAACGGCCCATTTCCCATCTCCTGTCTCATTTCTTTTTCATTCCCTTCGTTGTTATCAGTGGTTGTATGTATCCTAACCACCACTGGGGAGAGTGGAACGACTCTCAGCTTCTGCCAACAATTCAGAAGCTGATGAAAGGATACAACCGCTACCTCAGACCTAATTTTAATGGTAGGAATAAGTCTGATAAGGATCCATTTGGACCAGAAGAGGCTTCTCTACAGTAGTCATTTGTGTTCTTCCTCTGTTTCTGTCTGTAATAGAGGGGCCTGTGGAGATTGGAATGAGTCTTGATATCGCCAGCATTGATGCCATCTCCGAAATCAATATGGTATAGCACTCATCACACTATTTTATGTGTCAGTGGGTGTGATTGAAGAAATTAAATGAATGAATGAATGAATGAATAAAGGCTTTTTCTTTTTCACATCAACGTTTCAGGACTATACTGCAACTATCTTCCTCCGTCAGCGGTGGCGTGACTCCAGGCTGGTGTTTCCAGGAAATGAGAGCGTCAGTGTGGACGGACGGCTTGTGTCACTGCTCTGGATCCCTGACACCTTCATCCCGGACTCCAAGCGTTCCTTCCTGCATGACGTCACAGTGGAAAACCGCCTCATACGCATATTCAGCAATGGAACCGTTCTCTACGCCCTTCGGTATATTTTCTTTTTGGGGAAGGTTTATTGATTTGACATTTACTGACATTTTTCTATCTTTCCTGTAACACATCTTGCACGTATATTACAGATTTTGCCGAACTTATATGAGGAAATGGACCTAGGAGAAGGGTGAGGGTGCCACTCAAAATATAGGAAGAAAAAAGAGAGAAAGACATATGAGTGCTGTTTTCACGATTGTTGTGGTAATCAACCGTGAATTGGCCTTGGGTTCTACTAAAAAAAGAAAGAAACAAAAAAAAAACCACATATGTATCATCAGTCATATAACTTAAGGGAATGCCACTGCACTTCTGCATTCCACATGCCCTTCAAACTGTTCAGTTTGTGTTAGTGAAGATTGAGAGTCCCCTATGGCCAGAGTAAAAATTTGTCCTGATGTCTAATCGGTCATGTCACACTGAAACAGAACCTGATTATGACTGCACAGCTTCATCGAGTACAGAAAGAGCAAGACTGTGAAGGGTACACGGGGGAATTTCTAATTTGTCTTGAGTGGAGTCACATTTGGAGTCTGATATATGAAGCTGGTCGAGCATTGTGTAAATAGTTAACTTGTACAGGACATCCATGTTGTCCATGTTTATCAATCAAAAATCTGCCATGTTCCTTGGTTTTCTTACAAATTAGCATATTTCTCTACAACTATATATAGAAATAGGACACTATGATGCCTTTAGCAATATTTCCAGCATTGTTTTATCAATCATTTTCAGCTCAGCTGCTTGGAGTCATTGAATTCCAACAAGTCAGCCACTTCTATATAATTAACACATCTGAAATTACTGATGTTGACCTCAGATATGAGTCTTTGTTTTTGTTATTGTTGTTCAGGGGGAGACTTTGTTGTGTTTAATATTTATTTTTAATTGCCCTGTCCTACATCAAAGGAGTGTCTTTGAAGGTTTTTTAATGATCTTGCTATGAATACACACCAGCATCACAGCTACGATCGCCTGCAACATGGACCTGACCAAGTACCCCATGGACAGACAGGTGTGCACCCTGCAGCTGGAGAGCTGTGAGTACCTGTGAACTCCATCAACCCTCCATCGAGTGTGTAGATGGACATACATCACCATCATCATCATCATCATCATCATCATCTTCATTATCATCATCATCATCATCAGTGTAGTGAGTATCAAACTGAAGAGACAATGTTATGTTTAGCAGATCGGATTAATCAAAATGTAATTAATTAAAATAACTTTTGTGTGTGTGTGTGTCAGGGGGCTACAACCTGCAGGATGTGGTCTTCTACTGGACCAGAGGGAATGATTCAGTGAAGGGTCTTGACACACTGCGGCTGGCTCAGTACAGTGTGGAGACCTACTATACTACAGTGTCAGAGGCTGTGTATGAGACAGGTAAGACAGTTCAGATCCCAGAATCCCGCTTACATGTGGAGTTAAATAAAGCAAATGTTTTGAGAGTCTTTCTGTGTCTCTTCACAGGACAATACCCCAAGCTGGTGTTGCATTTTGCGCTGCGTAGAAACGTGCTGTTCTTTATCCTGGAGACGTACGTTCCCTCCATTTTGCTGGTGGTTCTCTCCTGGGTCTCTTTCTGGATCAGCCAGTCCTCTGTCCCAGCTAGAACCTGTATTGGTCAGTACCAGACCTCTTAAAGTATTTCACTAATAGGTTAAAATATTGTTATTTTGGTGCATTCATTTGAATAACAATCATAGAAACTCCTCATTATATAGTGATTCATTGTATGATCTTACATATTGCATAACACACTATAACATACTATCTCACAGACTTTATATGGTCAGACAGATATGCCATATATTTAAACTTATTTCTGTATTTAGCAGCACAAAACTCATATGTTGAAATCTAATTTCTAATCTAATTCAGCACCCAATTGTGGCTTAACTATTATCATAACCCAGATGTTTGGACTCAAGTCACTTGCCTTGGACTCGAGTCAGACTCGATTCATCTATTTGATGACTTTAGACTCCACTCGATAGATACTTTTGATTTTCCTTTTGACTTGAACATAATTGATATTATAATTTAATTTTGTCTGTTCTGCATTCCATTTTACACATTATGACTTGTTTAGGATACGTTTACTATATGGACTTGACTTAGGACTTGAGAGTAAAGACTTGACACTTACATTTGAATTGCAAAACAATGACTTGGTCCCATCTCTAACCTAAATACTCTGAACAGTTTGCCAAAAATTAAATTAATTGCTCAAATGAAAACTATTTTAATGTAAAATGTTATTTTTATATTAGTTAAAGTTCATGTAAAACGCATTGTGTGTTTATGTGTGTCTTAATTTATGGATGATAAGTCACTCAGTCATTCAGTAACTGCAGTCTCATGCCAATTGATTATCAACTGAAGTGGTCACCTGTAAATTATGCAGTGGAGTACAGCAAGTTCAGCAATACATTGTAACAGTCCTGCATCTATAAAAATATAAATATCAACACAACAATCATCCGTTTAGCACCAGTTATGACCGTTATAATGAGACCAAGATGGGGAAATCTGAGCAGTAGAAGATGACTGAGATAATGAGGGGCTTGACAAACACACATTTCAACACTCTACAATTGATTACCAGTGCACTGATTAAAGATTCAACTACAATCGGGCATTATGGAAACAAGAACACTGTGACATATTTTCCAGGCGTGACAACAGTTCTGACAATGACCACACTGATGATGGGCGCCCGAACTTCCCTGCCTAATGCCAACTGCTTCATCAAGGCCATAGATGTGTACCTGGGAATCTGCTTTACCTTCATCTTTGGCGCACTGCTGGAGTACGCTTGTGCCCACTTCTACACCATGCAGAACCAGACCATAGAGGATTTACACAGGGTGAGGAAAATGTTCACATTCAAATATGAGGTACAGTTAGACAAGGAAAACATTGCAACTGTCTATTATCTTTCAGGAGCTTCTGAGAGACTTCAATGAATCCAATGGAAACAGCTCCTTCCCCATTGTCACCTCCACCCACCCAAACCAGTCTATGGAGATCGGCTCCACTGCAGAGGAGCCCATGGAGCAGTCATCGAACACTGACACTAGGAACAATGCTGGATCAAAAGAGAATATATCAGGACAGGGCTGCGGCCTGTCTTCATTGAAGGATGCATCACGTAGGGCAGCATCTGTCTTCACTGTGGAAAATCCACACAACATTGATCGCCACGCTCGCACTGTTTTCCCCACAGCATTCCTCTTTGTCAATATCCTCTACTGGCTTTACTATCTCTTTCTCTGAGCAGTGGCTCCAAGCTGCTGCCTTGTTAATTTCACCCTCCAGAAGCTGCTCTACCTCCTCATTTGGGACCCAGTACCAGTTGCCACTGCCTGGATCTAAACTGATCATATAAGCATTTTATATCACATATATAAAACCTTTTTGCCCTGTAGATAGGGATACAAAATGATGAAAAGCATTTGAATTTCTTCTTTGTAACTCACTCTGTATTTAAAGCTTTTACTACTACCAAGATATTAACATGTAACAAATGCAAAGCCTGTATCTGTCTATTTCCTGACATCTCCATAGAAACAAATGAGGATGAGTTAACTAGCTATAAACAATAGGCTGCCTGAACTGCATCACACTATACTGTGCTGCATTCAATTGCCTTTATTAGGTGACTGATGTAGATGTGTTTTTCTTCTTGTTTCGGCTTTCATACATTGTTTGTAGGAGGCCCTATTTACTTCACAGCATATCATGTGAAATCAAAAGAATAAATCAGTAAATGAGAACGTGTTGGTGCATGTTAATGAGGGAGATGTTCTGGGTCTGTATGGTAACAAATAATTAAAGATCAAACGTTTGAGAATAGGACACACATTTATTATTCCCTTAACCAGGAAGGAGAACAGTAAAGTGCAAAAGTAAACCACAGGTTCATCAGGAAAAAAACGCAAAAATGACAAATAGTGGAGATTTTCCCAAGATTGGTTTGTGTCACTGATAGCACCACTTTGTTAGTTACTCAATGATCTCTAACAGAAGTATTTAACTGTTTTTGAATGCTGTGCCACAGAGGGTCAAGTGGATATAGGATTTTGTTCCAAACTAATTGTTCAGCAGCTGTTTTTGCTGTATAGCACAGGATCGACCTGTGAGGGGGAGCCAATAAGTGCAGTCAAAAAATGATAATACACTCAGCCCTCCATGATACACAGCTGAATACCTCTGATAGCCATGTCTTATGATGATGAAAAATGAAACCTTGAACATTATAAAAGTATAAAACATACAAAACAGTAGTCACAGTTCACTCTGTACAGGCAGAAAAAAACATTATATTATGTAAAAGGAACATCATGGCTTAAACGGCCTCCATCCTCTTATTTTCCAAACACATCACATTTCTCACATGGCACCTTAACAATAAAACATTTCACCATATGCAGCACTGGATGGCCTTTCTGTTACAACTCACTGTGCTTTACAATACACTTTTCTTGTATCTTTCTTTCACAAACTCTGCTTTCTTTCTTTTGCTGTTTGCCACATTTGAATCTGTGCCACCAGAAACGATAAAAATACTTGGGTACAGACAGTGAACTTTCTTCAACTAGTCTTTGGATTCCTCACATTTGGAGTAGTCCTTTTACAGACAGCAGAGTAAATATTCAGTGAGATGTACCTCCATCTAGTGGCCAATTTATTTCCTTACAGTATATTTCCTCTGTAATACAAAATGAAGTAAATCTGTTATTTGAGATGTAGATGGTAGGTTATTCTTAGTGGGACTGAATGTCACAACGGACAGATGCTGATATCCATTAATTCTGTCTGCAGTCCTTTCCATGATACTACTCTTAGGTTCCTTTCTTTGACTCCCATTCCTGTAGAAATAGAAAAAAGGAAGTAATTTAGTAACAAGCTAACTTTCAGTTATGCTAATATACTGTAATAAAGAAATGTAAGCAAAAAGTCAGTGTCATTTCCAACTCAAAATAATATAGAATATAACTGCAAAATGGTCGAGGTAGACAGTATTGTTAAAACATACGGTAATATCTTCATGTTTGTAAGCTTTAACCAAATGGCTTAACATTTTAATTTTTAATTTAATTGAAAATGAAGAGGCTGAATAGTTTAGGTCATGGCTGAATGACTAAGCAAGGTTAGTATCACTAAAATCATCTAAATCAGTTAGTAATTTCTCTAATTTTATTTATGCATCCAATCCAGTACAGTCCAAAACACAACCGTATTCCATATGTCTTCGTACGTTGATACTGGCTTCTTTTACGTGCATCAAAGTGAATCAGTGACCAAGTAGGGATGATAAAATGCACTGCATCACAATAGGGGTGACTTGTATTGTATAGCATTGGTAGTTGCTTCATATGAATCTTTAATGTATCAGATCACTGGTAATGCATAGATCTGCGTAATGCGTCGGCCTCAGCGATAAAGATGCACGTCCCTATGACGAAGTAAAGGTCCATCTAAAGCAGGACAATCACTGGGATAATGACAATAATATAATAATAATAATAATGCCAATCTATAGTATTTGGCATCATCTAGAAAAATATTGCAGTTATATTGTACTGAAATCACCTACTGTGTACCTGATGGTATCATTACAACAGTAATATTGTGAACCGTAGTGTGAAAGCACGAGCAGCTGATATCAAACAATAATCACTCAAAATGCACTCACACACATACACACACACACACAGGTACTTTACTGTATATGATCAAAAGTGACTGTGTATCTATTTATGTATCAACTGTGAAACCCCATTAGATGATGACACATGCTGCTGTGAGTCTATGAACCCCCTGTGAAGCCTGTCCATAATGACAAGCAGAGGAACTGATCAAAAAGTGACTCTGAGAATGGAGCAACACGGTTTGAGTTACCTTTGCCTTCTGCATGACAGTTCCTGAAGAAGAAGCATAAACAGATGGGGGTCTTCTACGCATCTCTAAGGCACAGTTTACTGGTAAAGACTCACTGTAGATATTATGTGTCTTTTTGATGGAGGCCTACAAAAAATAAGTAAATAGTAAATTAGTAACAAGTAAATAATAATAATAAGTAAATAAAAAATGTGTATGCAAGCAGGTTTAACATGAATTTTTGCATCTCTCCACAAAACGCAACAAATATACCTTAATGGGGGGTTTAGCGTCAACAGGTGCACCAAGCGCTCCACCGGCCAGGCTCTTCTTGAGGTTTTCTTGGACCTGAGTAAGACGGAGCTCCAGATCCACCCTCTCAGCCTCTTTAGTGCGACAGGCATCCTCAAGCTGGGACACGCGCTTGTTCAGAGAGGACTTCCTCCTGTCTGCTCCACAGAAACACAGAGAGACATATAACACGATGAGACAAACAATCAACTGATAATTGGGTTACATGTCCACCTTTAGATGGTGTGGAGTCTCAAATGATAAATTGTGACATTGTTATATATTACAAGCAGTAAAAATAATCAATCAACAGTGGAAGGAGCCAATCTGATG